TATGTGTGTATTTATCACCATATGTCCTCTTTGTTCTATCTTTTGTCCATTTTCTTATTGAATTGTTTTTGTACTATTGGGCTCAGAGGATTGTAAATGTAACCTAGCTATGATATGTGATTTCCCTTCCCATAGAAATGTTGGAGTCCTGGTGTGAGCTATTGGATAAGCACAGGACTGCTAATCACAAGGTTGGTGGCTCAAAAACACCAGCCACTCCTTGGAAACCCTATATAGGGTTTTTGAGTCAGAACTGACACCGTGGCACTTAACAAAAACAGTCTTGTCTATGTCAGCAAAAGAAATCTTGCTGTGGTTAGGATAGGAATTGTGATAAACCTCTGGGTCAGTTTTAGGGAAATGGGCAATCTTCTAATCCATGAACATAGTATTTCCCTAAAATATCATTTTGATTTCTTTCCTTAGCATTTTGTAATTTTCATCATGCAGATCCTCTACAAGTTTTGTTAGATTTCTCCCTTAATAATTTAGCCTTTTACTTTGCTTTCTATTACTGTATAGAAACATAGTGGATTATTTTGGCTCGTAGATCTGATTTCATGCAACCTCACTGAACTCATTTATTAGGTGTCAGGCTTTTGATTTCTTTGTTGTTTTTTGTTGGTTCCTTTAGAATTTCCTGCATAGACAAGTTCTGTATATATTGTAGTTATTGTGTGCTGTCAAGTCAATTACAATTCATAGTAACCCTATAGGACAGAGTGAAGCTACCCCATAGGGTATTCAAGGCTGTCATCTTTGTTACAAAGGAGTCCTGGTGGTGGCAGTGGTTAAGCAATTGGCTGCTAACCAGAAGGTCAGCAATTTGAACCCACCAGTTGCTCCTCAGCAGAAAGATGAGGCAGTTTGCTTCTGTAAAGATTTACAGCCTTGGAAATTCTATGGGGCAGTTCCACTGTGTCCTATAGAGACACTGTGAGCTGGAATTGTCTCCACAGCAGTGTGATTTTGGTTTTATCTGAAATACTCAATATTCATTTTTCCTGTGTGCCTTGGTGTCTGATTGCAGTATTTAAATTCTGCTCAACAGAATCAGAACTTAGGGTCCCACACTGTTTGTGGAACTTAGTCTTGACCCTTCCTTTACCGTGTGGCTTCCTGGTGGGGTCTCCTTCAGTATCTTCTGGAGGGAGGGACCTGCAACCTGTACCACTATCCTGAATGGATGGGGAATATCCAGGAAGGAGCGGGCTGGGTACCTTTGTTTAAGCCAGGTTGTTGCCCCTCAGGATGCCCTCTCTGGTCAGGACATCACAAGCTTGGACCAATATCCATGAAACCCCATCATCACGTAGCATGTGTGAGCATAGAAGCGCATTATGAGCCTCACATTAGAGTGATGGCAGTAGCCACGCTGGGGCCTGGTCGGCGATTCCCCAGCCTAGGATTCCCCTGTACCTCCCTCCGCACTCAGCCATCTCTGCTGCCACCTGGACCACCAGCTTAGAGCCATGAGCCCTAGAGCCTGGCATCATTATGTGGACAGTGAAACCACGGACCACATCAGCCCATAAATAATCCCAGCCAACACATCCGCCTGGGCAATTTACTTTTTAAAATCTTGGACTCTAATTTTAAGTGAACAGCCCCTAATTACAGTGATTTACAAGGTACCTGGGGACTGGGTGATATTTGAGCATGGCATAGCATGGCGCCAAGATGGATCACATGACATAATTCACTCAGCACATTTTGATAATATGGGGCAGCGGACAGCTCTCTAGAGGAGAGGACCCCATCCAAGCAGAAGCCCCCTGAGCCAAGGAGGCGGAGTCAAAGAGGACCAGTGCCTAGGCTCAGGGAAACTGGGAGCCCCGGGCTGACTGTGGAGTTCTGCCCTCTGCCCACCTGAGCAGGTGTAGCTCAGGAGCAGACTGGCATTTTGCAAACACATGGATTTGCTTTGTTTTAGGTGTTTTGAGATCAGATAGAAACCTGATTACATTCTGGCTTCCTGCCCCCTGCTTCTCCCACCCTGTACTCTCTCCAGTCACCACCCTGGTCCACTTGCAGAGCACCCTGTCCATCCCACCTTTGCTGGCTGGGCAGAGCCTTATCTGACCCATTGTCCCCTGAACTGCGTGGGTCCTAGGTTGTGTTGTGGTGTTGATACTGGTTGCTAAGGTTTGCCTGTGACTCTAGCAAGCAGCCACAGCTACAAGGAAAGATCTGATTCAAATAAAGAATGACTGGGACCCCACAACCTGCAGGGGCTTGGGAAGGGACTCAGAGCAGCTGCTTTTCAATCAGAGAGACAGGGGGGCAGGGGAGACTAGCTGGAGTGTGATGTCATTGAAGAGGCACCCCAGGTTAGAAGGACAGGGACTGGGGGCTTCAACTGATCTGCAATGGCCACTATCCTGGATTACCACTACCAGCCTGACCCCACCCGCACCTCCGCCCAAAGTTCCTGTCTCTTCCCCTGACAGCTACCAGAGAATAGGCCCCTTCTGACATTTAGGGGAAAACCATTCCGGATCAGGAGCAGGCGGCAGAAATGAAAGGATTTTCTTGGTAAAAGGTCAGAGTGGTTTCTCTTATTTTTGTTTAAAAACGGTTTGTGTTGAACTATGACAAGGCCAAGTGTATTAACAGGGCGGCCAGCAGGGGAGGGCCACCATGAGAGGCGGGGAGAGGGAGCTACACAAAACAAACAAGGCAGAGACAGCCAGACGACAGCTCAGACACAGAGGCGGCACATGGGGGCCTGGGACTGGGGGCAGGGGAATCAAGGCTCCTGCTGAGATCAGCCCTCTCTTCCTGGGGTCTCCAAGGGTGAAAGGCATGTCCTGGCCAGTGGGGAGGGAGTATGCTTAGCTACCCAGTGTCCCCACATTCTGGAGACACAGTGGATGGGAGGGTGGGGGGTTCCAGGCATGAGATGTGATCAGGAGACAGATGAGCTGTGCATAGGAGCAGGGACTGCTGGGCAGAAGTAGTGTCTAAAAAAACCAACCACGTTACTGAGGTGTATAATCCGCATTTCACCCTGTCAGGCTCACAGTTGGGTGGATTCTGATGTATTCAGAGGCATGTAGCCATCACCATCATCAATTGTAGGACATTTTTGTCATCCCCAAAAGAGACCCTGTGCCTTTGACTCTAACCTCCCAAATCCTCCATTCCCTCCCCTACTCCCACCCTTGGAAACCTTTAGTATACTACTATCTCTATGTATTTGCCCTTTCTAGATAATTCATGGAGGTAAGGTAAGACTGTACCTTGTGTGTCTGGCTTTTGTCACTCAACATTTTGTCCAGGTTCACCCATCATAGCATGCATCCGAATTGTATTTCTCTTTGTGGCTAACACTCCATGGTGTGGATGGACCATGGTATGTATATCCATCATTTTGACAGACACTTGGGTTGTGAACATGGGTACACACGTGTCTGTCTGCATTTCTGTTCTCATGTCTCCTGGAAATCTTAGGCCATGCAATGACTGTGGAACTTTTTGAGGAAGTGTTGCACTGTTTTCTACCATGCTATTTTATATTCCCACCAGCAGCGCACAAGGATTCTAGTTCTTCCATATTCTCACCAACGCTTGCTACTTTCTGTCTTTTGTTCTTAGACATCCTGGTGTGGGTACTGTGGTTTCTCACTATGGTTTTATTCTACCTTTCCCTGATGACTAATGATGCTGAGCATCTTCTCATGTGCTTAGAGTTATATGTCTTCTTAGGAGAACTGTCTGTTCATATCTTCTGCCTATTTTTCTTGGTGAGCCGTCAGAGTCCGTCATATATTCTGGATACAAGTCCTTCACCAGACACATGATTGAGAAATGAGCTTATTGACGGGTTGGGCTTCAGGGGCAGGGAGAAGTGTGTCCACTCCTCACTGACTCTCAGGGCACCTGTATGGGCACAGGCCCATCAGTCAGTGGTCAGCTGGGACTGCCTCTTCCATCTGCTGACAGATTTGGAGTTGGGCTGGTAAGGGGCTATCTGGAGATGGGGTTTCTGCCTTGGGAAGCAGGAGCCTCTCCTCAGTCCTTGGGAATGGGGAGTGTCACTGGACACATCTCCCTCCAGCCTTGGGATTCTCCAAATACAGTGGCCCAGGAAGGGGGTGGCCTCCAAACCAGGTGATGTCCTACCCATCCTGTTCCCTGTGATGATGAGGCTGCACTGGAGGGCAAGTGTCACTTTGCCCTGCCGTGGCCTGGCTCTTAGTGGCCACCTCACCACTCAAAAGCTGAGCCCCTCAGGTTTCCCCCCAGTGTCAGCTGCCTTGCTGAAGGGATCTTACCTGAGAGGCTCTGACTCCGATGTCTTCTGGGTTCAGGGTGAGGTCAGCTCCAGGACCACACAGCTGGGTGTGACTTAGCACTTTTCACTGTGTGATGTGAGAGAGGCACTCACCACTCTGTGCCTCAGTCTTCCCATCTGTACAATGGGGTAGTGACAGGGCCTAATTTGTGGTGGTGTTAGGAAGTTTAGAAGAGGTCATTCCCATAAAGTGCTTAGAGCAGAGCCAATACCCACTGCCCCCAGCCATCAACACCAACATCACCATCATAACATCACCACCCTATTCTTCCACCACTACCATCATTATTCCCATCACTACCACCCCCATTGCCTCTGTAGGAGTTTGAGGATGGGGAGAGGGTTGTGGTCAGCCTGGAGGAAACAAGGAGCTGGAGTTTAGACTCCAGGCCTCTGGCTCTTGTTCTAGGATTCCAGAAAAGTAAGGAAAGTTGCTGCCCTTACAGCATTCATTGCCAAATGGCAAGTACATAGACATGGTCAGTCAACTCTGGGCATAGGCGGGCTGTGTGAAGGGTGACTTCCACTCCAACCCTGGTCATTCAAGGTTCCAGAGGCTCTTGGTCCTGTGCTGCCCTGGCCCATTGTGGTCCTGGGCCTCAGGCTGCTGTTCCTGGAGGGCTGGTATCCATGAGGGCAGAGACACCACCCAGTCTACCACCATGCTCACCTCCTTCCTCCTGTGTCCCCACCCCACCTGCAGGCCACAGGACCCTCAGGGGCCAAGATGAACCTGCTGGAGACGGAGTTTTCACGAACGGTCGGCGAGCTTATCGAGCTGCACTTGCTACGCCAGGACAGCATCCCAGCCTTCCTCAGCTCCCTCACCCTTGACCTCTTCAGCCGCCAGACCCTGGCCTAGAGGCCACCATGGCCCCACAGGACCCTGGTACTAGGGGTATGGCAGCCTGAGGGTCCTGTCAGGCCTGCCCTTGTGCCCACAGCCCTGGATGGCAAGATCCTGGCCCCTCATCCACAGCTCTCCACCCTTTCTCTAGACAGATGGCAGCAACCTGAGTGATGGTTCGGGATGCCAGAATCTGTGCACAGCACCCACACGCATATACACACATGGATACACACACTCACATGCATGCATGCATGTACTTGCATACACACAAGACCACTCTAATATGCACACATGCATACACACACTCGCATGCATACCCTCACGTGCATATATGTACATATGCGCACATGTACACATGACCATTCACATGTGTGCACAACTCACAAGCTCTCATGTGCACACATGCATACGTGCTCACTTGCATGCATACATGTACATGCACCCACTCACATGCATGCACACCCTCACACACACACATACATGTGCACATGTACACATGACCATTCACATGCGTGCACACCTCACAAGCACACCCTCACACATGACTGCTCTCATGTGCACACATGCATATATACACATGAAACTGCACTTCTGTAGTTTCAGAGCCACTTACAAATGCCCTGGAGCACCCAGTGCCCCGTCTTTTAGGGGGGGCTCACTACCTGTCCTGTGCCCAGGTCTGCCACCCCCACATAAGAAAGGTGGGACTTAGGCTGTTCATGGGTGGCCCGCTGCCCCACCCTCACGCTACCTGTCTGACTCCCATGCTTTTCGGAGTGTCCATCCAATAAGCTGGGGGTTAGGGAGCAGGGACTGATTCCCTGGCTAGCATGCCTGCTTCTAGGAAATAAAGTGTCCTCAGCCTGTTCCCTGCTATTTGTCTGATGCCAAGCACACCCAGAACTCCGGGAACTGAGTGGGAAGGAATGGTCACACCTGCATGGCCACCAACCAGCTAAAAATCCTGTCAGCTTCCTAGACAGGTGAGCAGGCCAGCAGTGTGGCCTCGCACTGTCACCTGTCACTGGGCTGAGGGTGGGCCTGGCCATATACCCCAGTGTCCCCGGCTGCTCACGGCCTGACTGGCTTCTGGTGGGAAGGCAGGTTCTTGACCCTCAGCCTTGGACCCTGCTGGTGCTGGGGGGGTGGGGGGTGGTGGTAATGCTGCTGGCCAGACCTTATAATGGGAGTATGGTGGGGATGCTCCCCGAATTCTGCCTGAAAAGCCCATCCCTTCTTCCACACAGACACTCTGACAGCAGAGCTGGCCCCTGGGTGGGGATCTGCCTTCTGCATGCCACCTGAGAACCTGGGTAGGGGCTGCCTTCATGGGCAGGTGGCCTGTGTGGAGGAGTGCAGTGGGGAAGCCAGGGACAGGGCCGAGGGAGATGCACGGGGCTGGGAGTTTCAGGACTATAGCAGTAAGGGAGAGGGGGACAGGTGATTTGACCAGGTTGTGGCATTTATACCCCTGAACTGAGTACAGCACCCCCAGAGCAGGTATTTAATGTCCACAGAGGGGAGGGGAAGACCCACCTGGCCAAGAGAGATGAGAGTGAGAGGCCCCCAAGTCCCACTTCTGGCCTCTGACCCATGAGGGGGTGAGCAGTCAGTGACTACAGGGTCATAGGAGGCTCCAGTGGTGGTAGTGGCAATTGTCCCCACCCCTCTCACACCTGGGGCATCTGGGTAGATGGAGTGGTCACCCCAGAGAGCATCTCCCATGCCAGTGACTTGACCGCCTCCCTGGTGTTTGCTGTTTTCTGCACCCTCACAGCCAAGTGGCATGGGAATAAAGCATGCTTGGCCACGACCAGACCACAGAGGGTTCCTGTGGAGGCAGGCCCTCTTACCCAGGATCCTTCACTGTCAGATGGTCTTTCAGCTGTGAATGACTAATATTAGGGATGAGTGCTGCGGCCACAGCTCTCACTGGACTTGCTGCTGACTCTGTCTCCTCCTGGTCTGGCGCTGTGGCTACATGACCAAGAAACTAGCCCTCTCTACTACTATTTCTTCCTTTCTTTGTAGGTCTGGTTGTGTTCTATAGTCTGCTGAGTAGATGGGTAAATATCTTGGGATCCCTGACCAGCAGCATCAGTATCCTGGGAGGCTCTGCCCCAGAACTACAGAACCAGCATTTGCATTTGGATAGGCTCATGGAAGTCCTAATTCAAATGCCGTGATTTACAGACTACTTCCCAACTATGATCTCTCATCCCACCTCATGGTGACCCTGAGAATGGGTCTGACCTATGCTCTTTTCAGGGGAGAAGCCCAAAGGCAGCTGTGAGTCCATGTCAGGGCTGGGGCACATCTCAGTGTTACCAGATATAACAGTATCACTGTGTCCCCCACAAAATATGTGCCAACTTGGCTGGGCCATGATTTTCAGTGGCTTGACATTTCTGTAATGATGTAATTACCCCCAGTGATGTGATCTGATGTGATTAGCCAATCGGTCCACTGTAAAGGGAGTGTCCCTGGTCTATGGCTGCATTACCTTTGATCTTATGAAAGATAAAAGGACAAAGAAGGGAACAGAGAGGGAGGGACCTTCTACCACCAAGAAAGAAGAGCCAAGAGTAAAGCATGTCATTTAGACCCAGAGTCCCCACGCTGAGAGCCTCCTAGAACCAAGGGCAAAGAGAACACCTTCCCCTAGAGCTGGCACTCTGGACTGATACCATGAATACACTTCTGTCTGTTAAAGAGACCCCCCTCCCCCTTGTGGTGTTTCTGTGAGAGCAACTCTAGAGAGTAAGACATGGGATGACTGTGTCTCCCAAAATGTGGATGTCCTAACCCTGTAGCTGTGAATCTGAGGGGGCTTCAGTGGTGGGAAAATGGAAGATAGTAGAGTTTTTCCATGAACTTTGAGGCCTCCTCATATGACCCTGTTTGGAAATAACAGCTTTTTTTCTCATGAGGTCTCTGAGGTCATACCAGAATAGGATGGGTCCTGAACCCAATCCTTTCCTAGTGGGATTTTATAAAAAGACCAGGACAGACACAAACACAGAGATGGGAGACACTCCACGTGGGGAGCCATCTATAAACCAAGGAACCCCAAGGATCTCCAGCAGGCACCAGGAGTGAGACCACTGAAGGAACCCCCATGCCTGAGACCCTGATACAGACCTTCAGCCTCCAGACCTTTGAGACAATGAATTTGTGTTCTTTATACTTTCACATGTGCATGTGACAGTTGGACTGTAGATAAGGGAGACGATAGAAGAAGTGATGCATTGAGATGGAGAATACTAAAATACCATGGATTGCCAAAAGAACAAACCAGTCTGTGTTGGAAGAAGAACAGAAGGACAGCCAGAATACTCCTTGGAAGCCAGGATGGCCAGACTTCATCTCATACTCTGGACATATGAGGGACCAGTCCCTGGAGGATATTGTGTTTGGGAAAGTGGAGGTTCAGAGAAAAAGAGAAAGATCCCCAGTGAGATGAATTAGCACAGTGGTGGCAGCAACGGGCTCAGGCTTCGCAACAAGTGTGAGGTTGGCACAGGACTGGGCAGTGTTTCATTCTGTTGTGCATAGAGTCACCGTGAGTCGGTGCTAACTCAGTGGTACCTACTAACAAACAACCCTGCCCAGGTTCAAACATAACAATTGTGAGGATGGTACAGTATTTTGCTTGATTATACATGAGGTCACTATGAGTCGGAGCCGACTGGATGGCATCTCACAACAACAAACCACCCACTTGTGATGTTTTTTGTTCTAAAAGCCCCAGGAGGCAAGGATCTCTGATGTCTTGACTCTAGGTCAGGTGAACCCTCTCAGTCCCTGATACTGAGTCAGTCAGTCATGGTCCATCTCCCACCTGTGGACATGTGGTCAGCTCGCTGGACCAGTGCAGCCCTGAGCTCTGTTGTGGGGCATCCCTGGCTATGGGCGACTCGGGTCCAGAGGCCTAAATCCAGGGCTGTGCATGCAAGACTACACATCCAGGGTCTGCAATCTGCAGGGCCCAGTCTGCCTGTCTCACCGACGTTCTCAGTTTTTATTATTACTATGTTTAAAAGTACGTAACACAAAATTTGCCATGTTAAGAGTACAATTCAGTGGCATTCATTACATTCCTAAGGAGATCTGGTGGAGCAGTGGTTAAGCACTTGACCACAAGCCAAAAGGTTGGCAGTTTGAACCCACCTTCAGGTCTGCAGGAGAAAAGACCCACCCACCAATCTGTTCCTCTAACAGCCACAACCTAGGAGAACCGATCAGACAGTTCTGCTCTGTCACGTGGGGTCACCGAGATTTGAAACAGACTCCACAACCCACAACAATAACAATGCGTTTCTTGATGTTGTGCAACCATCCCCATGACCCATTCCCAACACTGTTTCATCCCTCCATCAGAAACTCCACCATTCATCTGACAGTATGTCATACTGTGGTGGCTTGTGTGTGGCTGTAATGCTGGAAGGAAGTTCTGCCAGTGGTATGTTAAATACCAGCAGGGTTACCTATGGTGGACAGGTTTCAGTGGAACTTCCAGACTAAGACAAACTAGGAAGAAGGAGATGCTTAGCTGCTTGAAACCTAATGAATAGCAGGGGAACATTGTCAGATATGTTGTAATTATTAAGTGCCATTGAGTCGCTTGACCACAGCAAACCTGTATAGAGTTTGTAGGAACATCTCATGGGCCTGAACTGCTGAACTTGCAGCTAGCAGTCAAGTGCTTATCCTACAGCACCACACCAGAACCCCCTGTCAGATATAGTGCTAGAAAATGAAATTATTATGAATTGCAACAGAATATTGTCAGGTATAGTGCCAGAAGATGAGCCCTTCAGGTTAGAAGACACTCAAAATATGACTGGGGAAGAGCTGCCTCCTAAAAGTAGAGTTGACCTTAATGATGTAAATGGAGTAAAGCTTTCAGGGCCTTTGTTTGCTGATAGGGCACAACTCAAAATGAGGAAAAATGGCTTCAAGCATCCATTAATAATAAAAACATGGAATGTACAGAAAGAGAACAAACAAGA